TTATTCTCTTGATGATATCGTATACTTTTGTTCTCTAATCCATGTGCAGGTTTTTCTATCTTGTCTTGTAATGCTGAGCATGTATCTTTCTATGGCTCTTTGTGCCACTCGTAACTTTTGTATCCATTATGAGGTTAGTGTCTATGTTTACTGGCATATGTTAGAGCAGGTAGCACACACTGATTGAAAACTTTTCTCTTCATAGATGGAGGTTGTTCTTGAAAATTATGCTTAATTTACCAAATACCTGCCAATCATTTAACCCGCCGTTCAATTTCCTTTATTATTTCACCTTCCATTGAGATCCTTTGGCCAAGGTACAGTATATGTAGTGGTCTACTATATCTAGTTCTTCTCCAGATATAAAACTTTGTCTTTCTTTGGTGGGTTTATTAAACATAACCTGGCTCTTTTTCAGGTTTGTTTCTTAAGCCAAATGGTTCTCCTGCTTTGTGCAGCTCTTGTATATGTCTTTGTAGCTCTTCTTGGTCTTGTGAGAAGAGAACAATATCATCTGCAAATCTTAAGTGATTTAAATAGGCACCATTGATTTTTATTTCATCTTTTGCCCAGTCTAGTTTGCGAAATACTTCTTCAAGGCAGGCTGAGAAAAGGATGGGGGATATTGTATTGCCTTATCATACATCTTATTCTATGTTGATTTCCACTTTATCATTAAGGCAAATTGTTGCCATTGTTTTTTCATATATTGAGTGTAGTAAGTTTACATAAGCAGTGTCTACGCCTTGGTTGAGCAATGCCTTAATTATTGCTTGTGGGAATACTAAGTCATATGCCTTTTCGTAGTCAATGAAAGCCACACACGGAGGCCTGGTGTACTCGTTGTGGCTTTCAATGACTTGCTGAACAACCTGGATGTGATCATTATGCTATAGCCTCTTCTGAACCCTGCCTGCTCCTTTGGCTGTGCATCATTTAATGTTCTCAACATTCTTTTTGCTATTACCTTAGTGAAAACCTTGTAGATTTAGAAAGAGTGCAGTGAAGAGCAACAAAGATGATTAGGGGACTCAAGGATAAAACTGGATATGTCTAGTCTTATAAAAAGGACTAGGGGTGACATCATAGCAGTGTTCCAATATCTCAGGGGTTGTCACGAAAAAGAGGGAGTCAAACTAATTCTCCAAACCACCTGAAGGTAAGAACAAGAACAAGAAACAATGGATGGAAACTAATCAAGGAGAGAAGCAACTTAGAACTAAGGAGTAATTTCCTGACAGTGAGAACAATTAATCAGTGGAACAACTTGCCTCCAGAAGTTGTAAACTTCTAGTGCCTCCAACATTGGAAGTTTTTAAGAAGAGTTTAGATAACATTTGTCTGAAGTGGTGTAGGGTTTCCTGCCTAATCTAAGATTCCTTCCAACTCTGTTATTCTATTCCATATGACTGAGAGAAGATTTATTGGGCAATAGTTCTTTAAATCATCATGGGCCCCTTTATTGTGTATAAGAATCACTTCAGCATTTTCCATGCATTGGGTATTTTTTCTTCTCTGAAGCATCTCAAGTATACTTTTGCTAGTACCTTGTGATACTAAACTGTGACCACCAGCTTTTAGCATTTCAACCGTAACACTGTCATTTCCCGAAGCTTTGCCATTTTTCATTGATTTTTATGGTACTTGGTACTTCCTCCACTAGGATGTCTGCATTTCCTCTTTTGTGGGTGTTGTTACTTTTGAGTGATCTTGATCTTCGTATAGCTCTGAATAGTTTTCCAATTATTTTTAACATTTCCTGTCTTGTTCTACACACAATCTTCCCATTTTAGTGCAAAACCCTTTTTCTTGTATTTATAAGGTTGCATTTTCCTTTATTAATCCTGTTTTTTTCTTCAATTGTCTTTTTCACAAGCTTCACGTTAAACTGACATGTTTCTTCTTGGATACATTTTCTTATGGTCTTGCAAAGTTCAACATATTCCAGTTTATTAGTGAAACTTCTGGTATTCTTCCTTGTCCATCATTTTTTCATTAAATCAATAGTTTCATCCGAGATTTTTGATTGTACAAAAGTGTTTTTTCTGGTGGTGCTATAGATGTAGCAGACTCAAATATTGGTTTATTTATAAGTACACATCCCAAAAACAAGCACAAGACATACAATTGAAATCTCTACCCTTCTCAATCTGCTATATGAATAAGCCAGTATTACCCAGTTTGTTCCAGATTTCATTCCTGGCAGCAACAGAATACCTTGAATGGGGAGGTAGCCAGAGTACTGTCAGTACTTGCTCCTGTTTGGCCCATCGTGTTTTATCACTTAGGAATAAAGTTTGAATCAGAAGGGAGGTTGGACCACAAATTGCTGCTGCAAACTATCATAAGAGATGTGTAACTGGCTGAAAACTCTTGGTCACTGGATCAGGTTTTAGATGGTACCAGTCTTATTTATTGTTATTATTGACGTATGAATATATGGAAGGTGAAAGTTTTCCATTACTTGTTTTTCCACCCAAAAACACTTTCCTGCCTAACTGAATTCAACGGAAAAACATAGTAAAAGGAGGCAAAAGGAGATATTGCCTACAAAAATGGGTTGCTTTTTTCCTCCCCTGCCCTTACAAAGCAGAGAGATTGGAGAAAGATCTCAAAAAAGATCTGAAGAGATTAAGCTGTTTGGTCTTCTATAATACGCACTGAAAGCAGTATGATCATGCCTGCAGCAGGAAAGGCTCAGGGGAAAGGAGAGATTGCCTACAGAAATTGCTTGCTTCCCCTCACACGCACAGAATGGACAGCTTTCAAGAGAATACTGCAAATTGTGTAGTGCACTCATGACTCCCAGCTCCATGCTACCAGTGCAATCGTATTCCTTTTAATGTGGAGAAGAGCAAACAGCTGCCTCTCATGCAATCCCTTTCTAATCTCTTTGCTTTGTGTGTGTGGGGGGGTGGGGGGGTGGAAGTGTCATGCAATGGGGAGACAGCCTTCAGAAATTCCTCTTTTTTTCTCTTCCTTCTCCCCCAACCCCCAGAGTAGATTGGAGAGGGATGTGAAGAGAGTAAGCTGCTTGGGTAGTATGCCCACAGGTCCCTGTCTGAGCTGCGGTGCGATTGCATTACTTTTTTTATGTGTACAAGAGATTAAGCAGGCACTTAAGCCTTCCAAAGCATGTGGAAGTGGTTAGGAGGCAAATTTGGTATTGCTGAAATAATATTGGTGTTTCTTATGCAAGCCTACATCTTTCTTTATCTCTTACTATTGGAATAGCCAAAAAATCCTTTTTATGAATTTTAGCTTTAAGTTCATAAATTATGCTGAGATTTAATGTTGCTGACTTCTTTTCTGCAGATATACTCATTAGTATATTTCTCTAGTGATTTCTCCCATATTTTATTTCATATAACATGTCCCTTTTATCTTATAGCTCAGTCAAAACTATCACGTGCACTAATAGTGGCTACCCAAGATGACCTCCCTTTTTCGTCCTGGTGTGAAATTGTACTTCCAATATCTTATTTTTAAGAAGTTCCCATCCCTTCCATTCTCCCTTTATGGATTTCTGTCCCCGTCATCCCACTATTACTTCCCTCACTTTTTGGGAACTGTTTCCAGGGAAATCTACATACCCCAATTTAGTTTTTTTGTCATATTTTAAGCACTGCCGTGATATATTTTATCCCAGCTCTCTTGCTTTTACTTCTTCAACCAGTTCTTCCTTGTTGGCTGGGATCAGATTTGGAAGAGGCAATCCCTTTGCCCCTTTTCACCTTTCTGAAAAATGACCCAATCCGCAAGACCAGGGAGGGCTGGATGGGATTTGGAGCTGAAGTTTTCAATGATTCTCTTTCTTATTAGAATGATTGCAATAATTCTACTCTTACTATACTCCCTGGCCGCCTGCAGGCAAATGACTCTGTAGGAACCAAGCAAATGGCCACATTTTACTGAGCTTTTGACGGGTGTAAATAATGTATTTACTGTACGGCATCGCATGCATGGACCTGCAACACGTATCAACGTTTTGCCCGGATTAAGAAAGCGCCATAAAATATCAACGTTCAAATACCAAAGTCCTCCAGACCACTGAAGCCCAGCATCGTTTGTATTAAAAAAACAACGATCCCATCCTGGCCCCTCTCGCCGTTCCCCGCGGAGCGTCTTCTGAGCCCTTCCTCTCTCCCGGCCGAGCTCATCCCCAGCCGGGGAAGCGGGACCAGGCCGCCCGCGGCTGCTGCCTCCGTCCGGGGGCTTCGGGGCTGGGCTGGCGCTCCTGCCTTCCCCTCCTTTGGGGCGGGCGCTGATCCCACGAAAGGCCCGTCCGGAGCGCGCCGGCCTTCCTCTTCTTCCCCCCGCCCGGCCAGCCGCGGGGCCGGAGCGGCTGTGGGCGGCCCAGGTGGCGGGCTCGGCTCGGGGCGGAGCGCGGGAGCGGCCGGGGCTGTGGCGAGGCCGGGCGGCCAGAGGGGGCAGCAGACCTTCCGCCAGGCCGGGGCCGCCCCAGCCCGTCCCGGCCGCCCCGCCGGAGCGTCTCTGCCCGCATGGCGGCTTCCAACCGGCGGAGGCCATGAACGGCGACCGCAGCCCCGCAGGAAGGGAGCCTCCCGCCGCCGCCGCCGCCGCCGCCCAGAGACTCCCGGCCTCCCTCAGGAGGCGCCACCCGGCCGGCCGCAGGTGCTCCGTTGCCCCCCGGGGTCCCCTCCTGCAGCTGCCCCGCTGCCCCCTCGCCACGCCGGCCCAGCCCCTGCCAGGGAGGGAGGGAGGGAGGCAGGGAGGGCGCCGCTTCCCGGGCAGAAGCGCAGCCGAGCGGCGGTCCTTCGGGGCGGCCGTTGCAGCCCAGCCCTGCGGGGCGACGCGGAGCCAGGGGAGTTGGGGCTACCCGGGCCTGGATGCCGTCCCCGCGGCCGCCCCGCGCCAGTCGGAGCCCCCGAGGACCCTTCGCTCCGCAGCCCCCGGCGCTCCCTGGGCGATCCTGGTGCGCAGGTGGGAAGGCAGCGCTTCCCCTTCGCAGCCCCGACGGAGCGGCTTTGCAGCGGCGCTTTCTCGCGCTCAGGGACTTTCCCGGGCTGCGGACTGCAACTCAGCGGCGCCTGCTGGCTGTGGATTCTGGGCCTTGGAGTCCCGCGCCTGAGGTTGAGGAACGCCGGAGGGGCTTCCCGCGACCCCCGGACTGCTCCCCCCTCCCTCCCTTCCCGGAGGCTGCAGGAAAACGGGCTCCGGACATTGGGCAGCCCACGAGGGTCCCATAGGATCCCCATGAGGGGTTTGGCCCTCCTTTCCTTGGACCCCTCAGTCTGCTCTGGGTCGGCACCTCCGGTCCCTGTCCTCCGTCCCACTCCCAGCGTTTTTAAGGCATGCAGGATGCCGGGCGGTTGAAGCATTTAACAGATGAACAGAGTTGGAAGGGACCTTGTAGGTCATCTAGTCCAGCCCCGCCAAGCAGGAGACCCTCCACCATTTCTGACAGAGGGCAGCCCAGCCTCTTCTTGAAAACTTCCATACGATTTATGATGCCATTTACAATGGCAGACGCGGCGGTTCGTCTGAAAAGGCACAGCCAGACTCCTTATTTTGTTTAACCATCTTAGGTTAGACATTCTGAATTTAAAGTCAAGATAGTGGGCTAATTGGAGGAAGGAAGCAACCTGTGTCCTTAGAAAAATCAGAGAATCTTAAAATATGCATGAACTGCAGCCACTTTTTGAGACAAAGAGGGGTCTTAAATTAATGGGTCCCCCCCCCAAGATCCTTGTGGCATCTTTGGGTCAGGGAAGGGTGTCACAGACTACGGTTAAAATAAAATCAAGATAAGGCCATTTTGATGTGATGTGCATAAACAGCTGGAGCTTTCATCACACCCCATGGCTGCTGTTTGATCTTTTTTTTAATCCTGCCGAAACTTCTGAGGAAGGTGAGTCTGTGGTGGCCAAAGGTTGACACACCTGCATTCTGGGATGCGCCAAGACAGGCCAAGATGCAGTTCACAGAGAATGACTTAATTATTAGTCAACAGGTGTGGAGCCTGCTGCCATGCCACCTTCAACAGGGAGGGTGGTAGAAAGATACCGTTGCCTCAGTTTGTGTCTGTGTTGGTTGGTTGGCCTAACTTTCTGGCGTTACATCCGTTGCCTTCCCTCTTTCACTCCCAGGCATGGAGCAATCCTCAAGGATGATGTTTGCAGGGATTCCTGCTTCCATTTTGACTTGTGGTTTTATTTCACCCTGCAAAACTGGGTCCTGGACTTTGGCCGGCCCATCGCCATGGTGAGTACCTGGGGATGAGGTTGATTTGCCTCAAGGGTTCAGAGGAGATAGAGGAGTTGCGGGTGAAGATGCCCTGGGACAGAAAAACAAAGGTTCCTTCCCAAATACAGGTAGTCCTCTATTTATAACAGTTTGTTTAGTGACCATTCAAAGGTTACAACAGCACTGAAAAAAGTGACTGATGTCTTTTGACACTCGTGTGATCAAAATTCAGACGCTTAGCAGCTGCTTCATATTTATGACAGTTGCAGTGTCATGTGATCAGTTTTTGCTACCTTCTGACAAGCAAAGTCAGAATCCCAATGGGGAAGCTGGATTCACTTAACAACCGTGTTACTAATTTAACAACTGCAACAATTCACTTAACAACTGTGGCAAGACAGGTCGTAAAATGGGACAAAATTACTTAACAAATGTCTCGCTGAACACATACATTTTGGCCTCAATTGTGGTCATAGGTTGAGGACTGCCTGTATCCTGGCTTTAGCATTTTGGGTTCAGGCAGCCATGTGAGTTCTCTGCTCTCAAGAGTTCCGTGCTGCTTCCTCCATTGAGATGCGTGAATTCGGCTTGCATGACAACTCTGGCCATTGAAGTTGGCAGCTGACAACAGGGCCACAAACTCCTCAGCCCTTCCCCAGAAGGGAGCTCCCGCCTGCAAACACTCCTGGCCCCCTTTTTGCCTCCCCTCGCCCTGAGGTGGCCTTCCCCTCCCACTCGCTAATGAAACCGGCTGAGGTTGCCTTTTGTTCTTGCTACTGAAATAGCATCTCCCTTCTTCTGCCATTCTGCAAATTGCATCAGATCTGTTCAGTTCTGTCATCTCTTACCCGGGAGGGAAAACACGGGACTGCAAGCAGGACAGAGGCAGCAGAGTGGCTGGGTGGGTGGGGAGCCGGTTCATGCTGGGAGGGGTTTCTGCCGAGCCCACTTCCCACTGACAGAGGGAAAAGGCTGTTCCTCTTGAATGTCCAGCTGGGCCATTTGCTCCGTTCTCATTTTAAAATGTTTAAAAATTGTTTTAATTTGAAAGAAAATTAAAAGGGATAATAACATATTACAAAGCTTCCAGAATCAGCTTTATTTTCAAGAAACCCTGGAAGTAAATCAAGAATTATTCACTTTCAGTCTGATCTCTTTATCCTCCTCTGACATCCTTGTTCACATGAACATAAATAGTATAGCTCTTGAATACGCATTGAGCGTGAGGTCAGAATTGTGTATGTTCTACAAATATGTAAATATGCCTCTTGGTTGATATGCGTGTAAGGATGGTAGTGCTTTAATTTTTCAGTGTCAGCTGTTTGTGGCTTGCAAATCCTCCTCCCTATCCTGTACTTTGCATTTTGCAAAGAAGATTTGGGATTAGGATGTTTGCATTGCTCTGAGATTAATTTTTCTTGGCATTGGCATTTGACATTGCCTCCCTCCCTCTCTCTTTCAGTCTCAGCCACACAAACACACAGAGGAAAATATCAGCAAGCAAAGATGGCCTTTATAGCCAAGCTCGACAAAAATCTGCAACAGAAAGCCCACCAATAATTAAGGGATGGCACAGTCTCCCCTATCTTGCTTCTAGCTTTTTCTTTGTGTGTCTCCCTCTGCAGATCGTGCTTCCACTGGAATGGTTTCCCCTGAACAGGCCGAGCGTTGGGGATTATTTTCACATGGCCTATAATGTCATCACACCCTTTATTCTCCTGAAGGTAAAATAGTTGCTGGATTCTCCGGTTTCTTCTTGCACAAAACCATCTAGATCAGTCTTCCTCAACCTTGGGAGCTTTAGGATGTGTGGGTGTCCCAGTATTCCCTAGCCATCCACACTGTCTGGGGAACTCTGGGACTTGAAGTTTACACATCTTAAAATTGCCAAGGTTGAGGAACATTGATCTAGATCAGGGGTGTCAAATTCAAGGCCCAGGGGCCGCCCTGGAAACAGTGAAGGACGGCCCACGGTGCCTCTGCCCACAAAAACGGGCTCCTGAGCTCCATTTTCGGCTGTGACGGCTTCCTGCAACCCTCTGCCAGTGAAAACGGAGCTCGGGAGCCCATTTTTGCTGGCAGAGTGCTCAGCCCACCACAGGCATCGACATAAATGACGTTAAGATGGCCATGCCCCCTGGACACACACACACACACACACCGAGATCAAACACAACCCTGATACAGCCCTCAGTGAAATCAAGTTTGACACCCCCGATAAACACATCATGCATCAATCTTTTTCCCCCCAGGCTCTTAAATTCTGGTGCTGGGGGAGAGAAGAAGCCAACTTGGGGGAGTTGTCAGTCCCAAATTTGAATTTGGACAGTATAATTCCTTGCCTGGAAATCATACATTGTGATGTCCTTGTTCCAATTTGCAAGATAGTTGTGCCTTACTATAGTGTTCGTTTACTCTTGGTCAGCAACAATGAGTTTTGACACAAGCTTTTGAAAATAAATGGGTAAGATTGAAGTATCTGAAGCTTGTGATTGACGATAGATGTTCCACTCAGATTGTCATCTCCCTGTGTTGGAATCAGGGATAAAAGTGCTCCGTAAGCAGAACCTTTGGGCGGGGCCTCCCTGCAGGCCATCTATATGTCTATGAATAGCTTAGACTACAAACCCATCATCCCGATGGCTGCGACCGATTGATGTTGCTGGTTGATCTTCCAAGGAGACCCAGCCAGGGAAGGCTGCAGGAGGAGCAAGACCTTTCCAAGTCTAGATTTCACATGATCAGGAAAGGAAAGGGTTAAGCAGCTTCAAATCCTTGATTGATTTATGACATTTATAAACTGTCTTCTGCCCAAGTCCATAGGGGAATTCACAACAGATAAGGTTTACTTTATATGTTCAAATTCAGGGTATTGACGCAAACTTGGCATACACCTGTTGCAAACAGTAAAATAGCTTAAAGTTGAGACAGGTGAGCCCAAAAAAAAAACCCACCCACCCTTGAAAATGCCAAAGAGCTCAGAATGCTTTGTAGTTTAAAAATGGGGGTGGGGGTGTTATTGCCATCAGGTCCTCCTCCAAGCTTGGGTCAAAGTGGGAAGGCGACTTCATTTGATGAAACTGCCAGGCGCACCGTGTCTTTGCCATGGAGTGAAGAATCGTCCCACCATCACGGGGACCATCTTTTAGGAAGGGCTCCGCTGCTGCGTTCCTGGGGCCTCAAAGGGGACTGGAGGGGTTCTCCCAGCCAGACTGTGCAGCCCCCCCAGCCTGCCTAGGAACCCCAGTTGTCTTTTTAAAGAAAGGCAGGCAGTTGCTTGTTCTCAGGAAGGAAACATGTTTCTTCCCGAATGTTTGGAAAAGGAGGAATGTTGGAAGGGGGCTTTGGGTTAGGACACACATCTATGGGTCAGATCGCTTTCCTTTTCCTTCCCTAGTTTGAACTTTAGGAACTGTTATGCTTTTACTTCGTACTTTGTCCTATAACTTGGGGGCCAGACCCCCCTTTTAATACAGATGTTGGAGGGGTTGCAATATTTCAGAGTGCTGCTGGGAGCAAAGGCCACATCCCTTGGTTGAACGAGCAACATTTCCGTGAATATAACTCAGTCAGGCTTCTTCTTCGTGACTAATCCAAGAAAATCAGTTTCCCCACTGTTTAAAAGATGGTTGAGTGAGTCACGGAATAAGATCTAGGGGAGAGAAGGCTGTCATTTAGACACCGGTCCCTCCCTCCTCGTGATGGGACTTGTGGCTCATTTTTTGACAAAGCCAAAGAGAGCAGAGGGGCTGAATTGGGCTGGTGTGATCTCTAGGGCAGCCCTGGGTCAGCAGCTTCTCCATCGCATCCCCTTAAACTGGGTTGTCACAGCGGTTTCAGAGGAAAGGGGGCCACAGAGAACTTCCTCCATTCTGCAGGGGGGGCGGGGAGGGGGGGATACTGCTATTCCAAGGAGGGGGTTTAGGTCGAGGCACCCACACTTCTGCAGAGACTTTATCTCAGGAACAGTTTTTGACTGTGTTTGTGGGAGTTGGATTCCTCTTGGGAAAGGAAAGGGCAGAAGGTTTCCTGCTTTTGCTTGATGGAGTTAGGGAATGGGGGGGGGGGCTGAAGGGGCTGACTTTACTCCACGGCCTCAGACTGGTTGCTTTGTGTGCAGCTGATGGAGCGCTCCCCCAAGGCCCTTCCCCGCTCCATGGTGTATCTCTGCATCATCATATTCGTCATGGGGTCCAGCATCCACCTGGTGGGGGACTCTGTCAATCACCGACTGATCTTCAGCGGCTACCAGCTCCACCTGTCCGTCCGAGAGAATCCAATCATCAAAAATCTCAAACCGGAGACCCTGGTGAGAGAGGCTGGTTCACTCTGCTTGTGGCTCCTGACACTCTGGTCGGTCTCTGTCTGTCTGTCCATTGTCATCTATCTATCTATCTATCTATCTATCTATCTATCTATCTATCTATCTATCATCTATCTATCTATCATCTATCTATCTATCATCCATCTATCTATCTATCTAACATCCATCATCTATCTTTCTGTCTATCTATCTATCTATCTATCATCTATCTAATCTATTAATCTAATCTATCCTCTATCATCATTATCTATCTTATCTTCTATCATCTTTTAATTTATTTTATCAAATGATTTAATATGGCACCCATCTCTCCCAAGCGACAGCTCTGGGCAATTTATGGGATCAAAAACAAATGGGACCCAATCAACACTTAACTGCAAATAGTCCTCAATTTATGACTGGTCACTTAACAACTCTTGGAAGTTAGATTTTTTTTAAAAAGCTACTGATGAATTGCAGCATCCCATGGTCGTATGACTGCAATTTGCTACTTTTTTGCTCTTTTGCAAAAGAAAATGGCCGAGGGGGAAAAGGCCATTGGATAGGCTGGATTCAGTTACGACCACCTGATTTGTTTAACAATGGCAGGGGCCATGCTTTATGGCCATCATAAAAATTATTGTAAAATCGAATTTGGTCACATGGTGCCTTGACTTACAACCCCAATAAATTACAACTGGGCGGTACTTTGGTCATAAATTGAGGACTATCTGTCACAAACAGCCATGCTTAGCAGAGCTCTTTGCTGCCTGTCCGCTGGGCCCCTTCGCTCTCTGGACTCTTCCATTTCCTTCCTTTCCAGATTGATTCCTTTGAACTGCTGTACTATTACGATGAGCACCTGGGCCATTCAATGTGGTGAGTCTTGGCTGCGGGTGGAACCAGCTCCCTTCCCCTGTTGCTGCAGAAGAAGCGTGGCCTCATCTGTGGGCTGAGCAGGCGCGAGAGACGGGCGGTTGGGCATCATGAGGGACGCCGGCATTTGCTGGGGATGGGACAGCTCAGGTGCCTCCCTTGGAGTTTTGCCACTCATTGTGTTAAACTCCTTTAGGGTTAGTTCATTTCGTTTCCTTCTTAAAAGTTTTTCCTTCGGGGCAAAATATTCAGCCCCTTCCCAAGAACAAAAACGCACAATGACATCTACTCTGAAACAAAGAGGAGAAACGGCCAAAAAAGGATCAGCCATTCCTGAGCCTAAAGTCTTGGAATCAAATTTGGGATCCTTTTCTTCACATCCTGAAATATTGGTCTGCTTGGCTGCGTTTTTTCCATGCATTTGATTTGTTGTCATATTGCCTGTCGGAGGGTTTTGTGCCACCTGATGCTGCCCTGCTTTCCTTGGGAAGATTGGAGGTACATTTAATAAATGCATTAATATAAATAAATAATGACATTTTAATAAACCACAGTGGATTCCCCACCACTCGACATCTTTGTAACAAGATTTTAATTGACCAAGAATTAGAATAATAATAGAATATTAAAGTTGGAAGGGACCTTGGAGGTCTTCTAGTCCAGCCCCTGCTGAAGCAGGAGACCCTATAACATTTCAGACAAGTGACTAGTCTCTTCTTAAAAACCTTAATAATTAGTCTGGTTACACCTGAGTTCCTGTTCCTGCTCCCCCCTTTGTGGAGTTGCTGCTGGGTGAGACTTTCCACCAAGGAGGCCTTCACCTACCTGTGCCCTCTGGTGGGCCGGAAGAACCATGTGTCAGGTTTCGATGTCATCTCAAACTTTGTCATAGCCGATACTAACCCTCTGACCCCCATACCCTTCCCTTTCCGTTCCCCAATTCTCATCTTCTCATTGGCCATCTTCCAAGTCAGTCTCCCCAGCTTCTGACCTCACCCCACAGGAATGTCTTCCCTCCCATCCCATCTCCTAGGGGATATTATCTACAGAGAAAATAAGTAGGTGAAAAGTCAAGCCTCGTCTTTTTATGGCAGCATCAGAATGCTGACACCATGAGGGATACAACAGGCCAAAAGTGGTTTTTGATTGAGTTATCAAAGCCTAAATCAAGGATTTCTGTGCAGGGTTGCTTTTTTAAATCTTCTGTTTCTATTGCATTTCCCCATATTTTTGATTGGTAATAAGTGTTTCAAGCTCTTAGCCTAGTTATTTCCCTTATTTTCATTAAGAAGAAGTGCCTGGACTTTTGCCAAACAGGATGCGCGTTCGCCCAGCACTCTCTGACTCACTAAAGCGGCCCCTCTTTTTCCAGCTCTCCACATGACCCCAAGGAAAAGTTGCTGCTGCAGCTTTAAGAATCCTATTAATTTTAATGGGTCAGTGCCTTAAAGCCACAGGATCTTTTTTTTGCCTGCGGGAAGCCAGTGAGCAGCCAAAGGTGATAGCTACAGAACTGAAAAAGTGGCTAAGAATCAGGAGGGATCTGTTAGGGCAATCTTTCTCAACCTTAGCAGCTAGAAGCTGTGTGTCAGGCTTGCCCCACTTAGGTCCCTAGGTAAGAAAGACCCTCAACTCCACTTGATTGAAGTGATGGGTTCTTTTACTAAGGATTGGTGGTTGCAAACAAAGCAAGGCTAGAACTAAAGTTCCCGCGTGAAATGTTACAGCATTTCCCCTTTCTCCCTGGCCCTCCCCCCTTGACTGGTCTGTTGTCGTCCAGGGGCATTCCGTATTGGTGTTTTGAGAAGCGCTTGGCTATTTGATGTCACTCGGTACAATTCACATTCCTTTCCCAGGCTCTGCTGCAGCCTTGAAGGCTGGAATCGGCCAGTTCTCACCTCCCCCTTCCTCATCTCTACCTTCTATACACCAATTGCTTACTTCCCCTCCCCCCTTCCCTAACAATTTATGGCAGGATGCCAGCAAAGCATTAAGCTGAAGATGGCAGCTCTGACAATGTGTGGATTCCAACTTCAAGAATTCCCTAATCAGCTCTGCTAGTTGGAAGTCCACACATCTTCAAGCTGATAAGATTGACAAATATTGAGTTAGTGCCTTTTCTGACCATTCAAGTCATACAACTGTCTTGAAATATCAACGGGGTCGGTCAGAAAAGGCTCTCCTACACTCCTCCAGGTTATTTTCTGCCACCCAAGATGAAAGGGGCTCTCTTCTTACAAGTGAGAACAGGTCTATGGTTACTGTAGGCTGGCAGGATTCCTGTTCTGGCTTAAATGTCCAGTCAAAGTGGCTGGGTATTTCTGAGGGGTAAAGACGGTGAAGGGAAAAAGATAGGTCTCTCTCACAGCTTGGTTACACTGTTAAGAACACTAGATACTCAAGGATGTAGACACTGAGGAACCAAGTAGTATTTTTATTAGGTCAAAAGAGGGTGAGGGCTTCCAGGCTCTCTCGAATGTCTCTTCAGGCCATTAAGCAGCTACTTTGTCCACTTGCCAAGCCAGGAGAACTGAAAGGAGCTGTTAAAACAGCAGGAGGCCCTTTTCCACCTTGTCCCTCACAACCTCTGGCAATTTTGTTCTTTTCACAGGTACATCCCCTTCTTCCTCATTCTGTGCATCTATTTTTCTGGCTGTTTCATACCCTGCAAAGAACAGCAGCCAAGAATCCCTGTGGCTGCTTTACTCCTCATTGGGCCCAGCAGCCTCTATTACTGGTAAGTGAGCCCAAGGTGGCACGGGAAGGCAACAAAATCAAGCCAGGTGTATCTGCTTGTCAGACAGCTGGTATCTCAGGGGTCGGACATCTGTGTCTGGAATATCCCAAGTGGAACATAGAATAACAGGGCTGGAAGGGGCCTCAGAGGTCTTCTAGTCCAACTGCCGGCTCAAGCAGGAGACCCTGGACCACTCTGGATAAACAGCTGTCCCATCTTTTCTTAAAAACCTCCAGTGATGGAGCCCCCACAACGTCTGGATAACAGCTGTTCCACTAATTAATTGTTCTACTGTGTTTCCCCAAAAAGAAGACCTGGTCTTTTATATATATATATATTATATCCTATATATATATCCTTACCCAGCAGGAGGCCTTGCTGGCCCAGTTCTGCAGCTGCTTGTCGCCACTTGCGTGTGTCACTGCCGGCCTCCATTTCTCTGTCAGAGGCCTTCAGGAAAAGCCTCTGCAGCGGATAACAGAGCTCCAGATTGATCTCCGGCCTTTTAAGCTGTTAAGAGAAGGATCTGTCAATTCTAGTTAGTGATCCTTTATCTTGTGGGGGCAAAGTGTGGGTGGGAAAAGGGAACCCTGCCAAACTGATCCACAGAGACTGTTTCAAACTCTGGATCTGTTTCTTTCCTTTTTCAAACTTTAAAACACATCCTGAAAAAAAAGGAGGGGCAGGATGGACGCCTGCTCTCTGTTTCCTTTTGGTGCTCTAGTATCTGCGGGGTCTCCTTGTGTCCCTTCAGCCACTGGCATCTGTTCTAACCAGCCCCGTCTCTCCCAGGTTGACTCCTGGCATCTTTCCAAGCCCCAAAAGGAGGCTTCCTTCCCACGGGACCCTTGGCCAGAGGCAGTAGAGGTAGACTTTGGCAGCCTTCCAAGAATATTTCTGCTGTGTCAGTTTCAAAGCTTGCTGAAAACAGCTTTAGGTAGTCCTCAACTTACAACAGTTCGTTTAGTGACGGTTCAACATTACAACAGCACAGAAAAAACTTACGACCGTTGCAGCATCCCCAGGATCACGTGATCATAATCCGGCCACTGGGCAACTGGTTCATATTTATGACGGTCGCAGTATCCCAGAATCACATGATCCCCTTTGGCAACCTGACAGACAAAGTCCATGGGGAAGCCCAATTCACTTAACAACCATTCTACTAACTTAACAACTGCAGTGATTCACTTAATGGTGGCAAAAAAAAAGTTGTAAAATGGGACAAAATTCACTTAAGAAATACCTCCCTTAGCAGTTGAAATTCTGGCCTCAATTGTGGTCGTAAGTCGAGGACTGCTGTATAGGGGAAGAGATGAGGTGGGATGAACGTGTCAAATTAGACCAGGTCTGTCCTCCCCCCCCCCATCCCCCCCCCAGAACCCCCCCCCCCCCCCTTTCTGGAGGGCAGCTACACCTCCTTCCCCCTTGAGAAGACCATCCTGATCCACCTGTGGTCCCTCTCACTTGCAGGTACCTGGTGACGGAGGGCCAGATCTTCACCCTCTTCATCTTCACGACCTTCGCCCTGGTGGCGCTGGTGATGCACCAGAAGCGGAAGGGCCTCGTCATGGACAGCAACGGCCGCTTCCTCTTTTACTCCTTTATCCTCACGCTGGGGCTGGTGGCCCTCTGGATCGGCTGGCTCTGGAATGACCAGATCCTCCGGAAGAAATATCCCGGCATCATCTACGTTCCTGAACCCTGGGCCTTTTACACCTTGCACTGGAGGAACCTGCCCTCCGCGAAGGCCGAGAGCTCTTGATGCGGTGGCTGCCTTTAGTTTGGGGCACGGGGTGGATCCTTTGGGCAAGCCAGCAGGGTTTGGGTGATGGCCAAGGAAGGGCTGGCTTGGCCTTCCTCCCGTTCATGGCTCTTGTATCCAGAGGAGCCTGATTCTGTGTGGATTCCTTTGGAAGACCCAAACTGGGGCCTCCTCCCAAATCAATCTTCATGGGGAGCCCTAGGCTAGAACAAGAGGATGTGGTTGCGGGAAGAATACTCGGAACCCGAGTGAGAATCTACCCAATCCGCTGATCTGACATTCCTTTTGCACCAGGGTTTTTATTTTTCCATGGTTTAAGTCCTCTGTGATATAGCATTTACAGATTAAGAGTTGGAAGGGACCTTGTAGGTCATCTAGTCCAACCCCCCGCCCCCCCCCCCCCACTCAAGCAGGAGACCCTACACAATTTCTGACAAGTAGCAGTCCAATCTCTTCTTGAAAGTCAAGTGATGAAGCTCCCACGTGTCTGGTCTACGTAGAGTTTGTCAGAATGTTGGATGGAGAAGAGGGCCCAGGAGACCCCGTGTGACTTCTGTGGTTCAACCTGTCTCCCTCATTTTGCATTTTCCTTCCTACGTTGGGTGGAAATCTATGCAGAGGTGAAGAACTGCTTACTTCATGCAGCTCAGTCTTGCTAAGTCTCTGCATTCAGTTCTTTGAGAGCTAGTTTGATTGTTTCCTCCTCAGATTCACGGTGCAAGTAGATAATATTAAGTCTAGTGAATTTTGAAATGAGGAAAAAAGACTTCCAGCCTCCTGTTTTTGCACTCACTAACATGCACAAGTGGCAGATACGGCTGGAAAAGGGAGAGATTCGGTCAGGGGTGCAAAAAGCATTGCATTAGGTGCTGCAAACGTGAGATTAGGAGTAGCGAACCTGCAGGAGAGAGAAAACAAAGAGGCTGCAAAGGAGGGTCAAGGAGCAGCTGCCACGTGGAAAGAGGCTGGCCGGCCCTGCACCGGTAGTCCTCAATTTGCAACAGTTCACTTAGTGACCATTCGAAGTTACAACAGCACTTTAAAAAGGGACTTATGACCATTTTTCACACAACCCTTGCAGCCTCTCCCCAGTCACGTGATCAACATTCAGATGGCAACTGACTCATGACGATTGCACTGTCCAGAAGTCACATGATCCCCTTTTGTGACCTCCTGACAAGCAAAGTCCATGGGGGGAGCCAGTTACGGTCCACAACTGTGTTGCTAACTTAACAATTGCAGTGATTCCCTTAACAACTCTGGCAAGGAAGATGGTAAAACGGGTCAAAATTCCCTTAACAAATGTCTCCAAAAACAAACAGAAATTTTGGACTCAATTGTGGCTGTAAGTCAAGGACTACCTATAGATAGTTTATTGTCCCCCATATGGAAGTTCCTGGCTTTGAGGATGACGCCCTATTAGCAAATTATCTCTCCCCAGCGGAGAAGTGCAGAGACATCCTTTAAAGTTGAGGGGGTCTTCCCTGGAACACTTTTTTTTGGGGGGGGGGATATGCACAGGGAGAGAGAAAAAAAGTTAAGAGGACTCTGAGCACCCAATCAAAGCCCCTTTCACTGGTCTACAAATGCACTAAATTTAGTTAATTAAGCAAGACCCCAACCTGTCACACAGTTGCACCATCTTGACTCTTACCCCTTTTCAGATGCTGCTGCTATTCTTGTACTTTGAAACTTAAAGCAGGTCTTTTGCAGCCCAGAAAGTCATTCACTGGGAAGTCAGTGGTAGACAATGCCCAGATTGTTGCTAAGAGAAACATGGACGTTTCTGGCAAGAACAGAGCTCAGCTAGAGTGAGTCTCTTCCTTTTAATAGTGAGCTGTCTCTGTTTAGTAGCACAAAGTTTCCCCGCTTGTGACGGAACAGCTTCACCATTCTGGAGCGTGGAAGTCACTACTATCCATATTTATCGATGACAGGATGCCTCTTAGGGAATTTTTGTGCAGAAATTGAAAAAAAGAAACCCCCCCCCTTTTTTTTTTATGGTTTTGATGTTTAGCTAGGATAGGTTATAGGAAGAAGAGTACTGTGATGTAACTTTAGAGAGAGGTTAAAATGTAATTGTACTGATAACTGCTGTGAAGAATATCAGAGGTCACTGCTGTGTTAGCTTTTTTCTGTTTTAACGTTTTTCTTTTGTTGCATTTTTTGCTTTCCTTTTGCTTTCTTTCATTTTCTCTTTATGTTGCATTAGTTTATGTTTTCAAAAAAACTCTTAATAAAATTTTATGAGGAAGAAAGGAATTCTGGAGGATGCTAAATCCGAGAAGGCTTTGCTAGTATATTATGCTCTGAGCGAGATCTGTGAGCGGCCACTCGATGTGGGGGAGAGAGAGAGAGAGAGAGGCTGCCTGGGAAACAATCGGGCAAGAGTTGGCATAGCTTCACAGCTGCATAAGGAAAGAGAAAGAGGCCCAGAAAGGAGCCCTCCCTAACTTCTGTAGTTGTTAAGGAACCGGAGAGATTTGTACTATCAGACTTGCAAGAATCTGTTCATCTAGTTTTATAATAAAAGAGTAGAATTAACTTTTCTGGTTGTGTTTCCTGTCTGGTTTATATGGGAAGGCTGACAGCTGTTCGGACAATCCTATCCAATGAATGTACATCAGTAGCCCTACATCTGGCTACAAGGTGGTGTCACAGGGATTACTAACAAAAGAGAATATTTATAGCTCAGGGTTGAGCTGTGAAGTCCTTGGTGCTCTCTGAGTTTGGCTACTTTCCTGCAGATGTTTCATTGCCCACCTACTGTAGGTACCGCAACCAAGCTCAGAGATCACCAAGGACCGTACATGGAGCACAATAGAGCTCCATCTTAGGTGCTGTGCTATTCAATATAAATGAGTTTGGATGATGATCAGAAAATAACACAGGTTACGTAAGATAAGCAGATAACAATCAACTTAGAGAACAATATCAAGATTCAGGAGAATCTCATGACAAGTAGGAACAATAAGCAAAAATCAGGAAGATGGATTTCAACATGGACAGATGCAAAGCATGGAAAATGCATTTGGGTAGAGCAAATTGAAGTCATGAATGGAGGAGACTAGTGGACCACACATGAAAAGAACCTGGGTGTCTTGGAGGTCACAACAGAACATGAACCAATAGTGTGATTGGTGTGCAACACACACACACGCACACACACAATGAATCCAAGGCTGCGTTGACAGAAGTTTAGTATCACAATCAAGGGAAGCCCTCATTTCTCCTCTGCAATTATTGGACCGTAAGTCAATATATTGCTGAAGAACTGGAAAGAGTCCTGTGCAAAAAAAGAACAACAGGCATCGTGAGGGGCTTGTAGACAAGACCCAGATATGCTTAGTCTAAAAAAATGAGACATGGTAGCCGTCTTCTGATAGTTGAAAGGTTGTCCCAGAGAAGAGGAATGAATTCATTACCATCCCCTGTATTATCTGAGAATAGAACAAGAGCCCCTGGGTGGAGGCTTTACCAAGAGAGATCCAATTGAAAATGAGGAATTGCATGAAAATGAGAGCTAATCATCCTCCTGGAGTGGTGGGGCCTCATGGATCTCAGGACTCTATGCCTTTGGTAACAGGTGTTACACTGAAAAGGTGCTACGGTGGGCTCCCCTTTGCTCAAAATGTTTCAACAGAAACCGGATGGTCATTACTCAGGATTGCTGCACTAGTAGGTTCCTGCAAAGAGCAGGGGATGAGACTAGATGATCTCCAAAATCCCTTTCAACCGTCACATTTCATGAATCTTAAGATTTACTTACTGCTGAATTGATTATATTTATTGGTTGTCCTTGATACACAAGCTTCTAGGCAGCCCTTGAACCAGCCCAGGCCACTTCTGACCAGAAACCAAAGATGGTGGCAATTTCCTCTCATTAATAAGGGAGATACTGTGCTTAGCCTCTCTTCATCTCTGTGCCTATCAAGATGAGGTGGACCGGTTGCTTTTGTGGTGGTGTGGAGACAATAATTTGATCCTTAACACCAATAAGACCAGGAAGCTTATAGTGAATATACAGAAGGAATAGATCAGACATCCAGCCCTTGATTATCAATGGAGACCGAGTGGAGCAAGTAGCCAGTTTTAAGTTTCTGGGTGTTATCATAAAAGAGGACCTGACCAGGGGTGCTCACATTGCAGCACTGGTCAAAAGGGCCCAGCAGAGATTCTACTACCTGAGACTTCTCAGGAAACAACAACTGAATGGAAAACTGCTGGTGACCTTCTACCGCTGCACCATAGAGAGTATTTTAACTTACTGCACCTGTGTATGGTTCGCCAATTGCACAGTGGCAGGTAGGACAGCGCTCCAGAGGGCCAACGTCATTGGTCATTGGTTGCCCTTGCCCCTCTTTGGAAGAGCTTGATAGCTCCCGCTGCCTTAAGAAAGTTCAAAACATTCTTAAAGGTGCCCATCTCATCCTGGGCGCCCTTTTTTTGAACTATTACCATCTGGCAGACGGTACAGGATAATAAAAACAAGGACAAATAGGCTGGAAAACAGCTTCTGTCCCAGGGCAATAACCATATTGAATTCTACTGTATGGTGCAATATTAATACAGTATCAGGGGTTTTCAATTCAATTGTATAGAATGTGAAGGATGTGTGTTTGTGTTTTATTTTTATAGTTATAAAGTACACTAAAGTTAGGACATGGTGGCTCAGTGGTTTAGACGTTGAGCTTGTCAATCGAAAGGTCGGCAGTTCAGCGGTTCGAATCCCTAGTGCCGCGTAACGGGGTGAGCTCCCGTGACTTGTCCCAGCTTCTGCCAGCCTAGCAGTTCAAAAGCAGGTAAAAAATGCAAGTAGAAAAATAGGGACCACCTTTGGTGGGAAGGAAACAGTGTTCCGTGCGCCTTTGGCGTTGAGTCATGCCGGCCACATGACCACGGAGACGTCTTCGGACAGCGCTGGCTCTTCAGCTTAGAAACAGAGATGAGCAGCGCCCCCTAGAATCGGGAACGACCAGCACATATGTGCGAGGGGAACCTTTACCTTTACCTTTAATGTACACTGAAGATGGCATTTAATTTTGTTGTACGAGGTGCAATGGCAATAAAGTAAACTAAACTAAACTAAACTAAACTAAACTAAAGGATACAGAAGTAAAAATATATTCTTATATTGCTGTTAGTAATTGTACTCAAAATGTCTCCTGCAAAAAAATATATATGAAATTTTAGGTGGATCATTCTAAATATTCAGCCATTTCAGCCTCTTCCAATGCCTAGAAAGCCAGCTTGTAAGGGAGTAACCTCTTTTTGTGTTAAGCAACATGTTCAGGCTTTGCAAATGAGCACACTTGGGTTGCAACCTACTTAACCTGCCTTGAAGGAGGCTGGAGATAATGAAGCCATTGGCATCCAACTGAATACTTGAAGGCTTTGGGAAGATGGTTGTCTTATCTGCTCTATGCAGTAAAAAATTCAAGTCCTTGTCAAGAAGAGGGAGCTGTAAAATAATTCCTGCCATCACAGAAGAGTCCCAGTCTGGTTGCTGTTGTTTGGCTAACAGCTATCACTTCCGCTGAAATTTGACCCACAACCTGGATTGTATCCACGACAACAAAAGGTATTTATTACACCTGCTACCACTCTCTGGGATGAGCGGACTTTGCCCCTTCATCAACGAGGAAGCTGGGGGTGGAAGGCAGGCAGGACAGCTGGAGGAAAACCAGCATCAGCACCCCAAAAGCTTCCAATGGTGACTGGGGACAATTTGGCCAGGATTGTGGATGGGGAATCTTATTTGGTAGAGCAAAATGACGCTGTTTCATCGTTGTTTTTCCTTTTTGTTTTGCAGGCAAAGTTTCTAACCCAGGATCAGATCAATGGTACGTATCTGTCTCTTTTCGAAAGGGCAGCTTCCTACCCTTCTCTTTATTACTTCTTGTGTTCTGATCTTCCTTGAGAAAACTTCACTCCAGCTTTCTGGGAGAGCAGGTCAGGTCCCTTTCCACTTCCCTACGAAAGAATTTGTAAGACCAGGAGGGACATATGTTATCATTCAGCTGATTTCCATTTGGCGTAGTTTTAGATTTCTTGCCCATTGAGGGGTCAACTTCATTATCTCAAAAACATGTGATGGAAAATATTTTTGTACAACTTCATCTATGAAACCTGCAACTGATCCTTAGGTAAAAAAGTTCCTGCCCATCTGAAGAGTGTCAGTTACACTCTTTGCATCTTTAAAAATGCTATAATTCTTGGCTTGCATTTCAGGGCTGTGTTAGCATGTCAGTGACCTCTTGCTGTATTGTCCTTTCGAAGAATTAGCAATTATATTGCTTGGGTGGGGGGGAGTATAAATGCCAGGATAGAAGGGACCCGGTAGGATTTCTGGAAGAAGAGCAAGCTGTCCTTCTGGGTGGGGGCACTTTCAAGACCAAGGGGGCACCAGCCATCAGCTAAGACAGTGTTTCTCAACCTTGGTAGCTTGAAGATGGGTGGACTTCAGCCGGCAGTGCTGTGAGAAACTTAGCACTGTGAGAAACTTAGTGAGAAACACTGAGCTAAGATAAGAGGCCCAGAAGATCACCTGCATCTGAGGCTTTGTATACCTCACTGGCTAATCCAATAACTGCAATGTCAGGGTTCCAAGTAATGCACCCATAGCAAACAAAACTCCGAGGCAGGTAGATTCCTTGAAGAATACTTTTATTGGATGCATCATATTGACACAGTTCTGGTGAAAACCGACTCTGAAGGTTCCCACAGTTTTCACCTAATTGAAAGTAAAAGTTTTTTCCTTTCCCAAAACAATCAGTCACCATCAAGGTGCCATTGGTTGCCTGGTAACGTCACTCCTCCTCTCTCTCTGACCAGGTGTGAGGATGTCCTTGGTTCCCAGGAGAAAGTATTTTGTTTTGGCTACAAAACCCCAGCTATCTCTATCCCCCCCCCCCGATCCCTCAGCTCCAGTGTGGCAACACTGAAGCTTCGAAATGGCTTCGGTCAGGTCAGCTTCAGGGTTGACATGCAGGGGTGAAGGACTTGGACAGGACCCTAGAAACTCAGATTCAAGTCCATTATCAGCCATGGAAGCTCAGGAGTTGACTTAGATCAGCTACAGGTAAGTCCTTGACTTATGACCAGTTGCTTAGCAACTCTTCAAAGTTATGACAGACCCCCCTCCCCCCAAAAAAGATACTCATAACCTGGTTCCATAATTCTGATGACAGTTACCTGATCATATTTTGGAGACACAGCAACCAGCCTGCATTTACGGCCATTTGCCATTTTTGCCAAAACCCAGAAATAAGCTTTAGGCTTTATCCTCCCTAGTGTGGAGAGTTGAGCCCAGAGGAGAGCAGGACATTCCTTGCCTCCCAGCCTCAGAAATCCTCCCGTGGTCCTTCTCCTTTTCTCCTGCACAGAATTCAAGGAATGTTTTTCCCTCTATGACAAAAGGCAGAAAGGCAGAATCAAGGCCAGCGATCTGATAGTTGTCATGCGCAGTTTGGGCACCAGCCCAACTCTCGGAGAGGTGGCCAGGCACCTTCAGCTCCACAAAATCGGTAAGTGTCAGGAAGATTTCCCTTCCTCCCTGCCTTCCCTCTGCTGTCCGTCCCATCCCCCCCCCCCCGCTTAAAATTTGGAAATCAGCCAAATGTGCATATTTAATTAACATTAAATGTAATTCATATATATTCCCAGTCATGTGTGGTTCTACCAGAGAAAAAGAGTGTGCCAGTGGCACCATCTGGAAAGATTCCAGGGGATGCAGCTATATATCCATGGTACAAAACAGGGGTCTTCCAACTTGGCAAGTATGGCTGGCCGGGGAATTCTGGGAATTGAAGTCCACAAGTCTTAATTGAACCTGGAAAATGTATTGGGCTCTCTACAAATATATGCTATTCTATTCTAACGATCTGCTGTAAATGTATTAATTCATCTTAAAAGTTCAGTAGATGAGAAAAGAGAAAGGTCTACATTAAGGATCATTAAAAAGGGGGCTGAAATAACATAGACTAACAGAGTTGGAAGGGACCTTGGAGGTCATCTAGTCTAACCCCCTGCTTGAGCAGGAGAGTCTATACTATTTCAGACAAATGCGTGTCCAGTTTCTTCTTAAAAGCCTCCAGTGATGGAGCACCCACAACTTCTGAAGTTAGGTCGTTCCACTGATTAATTTTTCTCACTGCCAGGAAATTTCTCCTTAGTTCTAGGCTGGTTCTCTCCTTGGTTAGTTTCCATCCATTGCTTCTTGTCCTGCCTTCAGGTGCTTTGGAGAATCTTCTTTGTGGCAGCCCCTCAAATACTGCAACACTGCTATCATGTCACCCCTAGTCCTTCTTTTCACTAGATTAGACATACCCAATTCCTTCTTCGTATGCTTTAGCCTCCAGGGCCCTATAATCATCTTTGTTGCTCTTCTCTGCATTCTTTCCAGAATCTCAACGTCTTTTTTATATTGTGGTGACCAAAAGTGGATGCAGTATTCCAAATGTGGTCTTACTAAGGCATTATAAACCAGCACTAACACTTCACATGGTCTTGATCCCTCTATTATACTATAAATTTAAATTTGATCATAATATATACATAACAATATTTCAGGGATAGATGAGCCATCAATCTTGGCCCATCAGTCCATTTTGTCATCATCATGCCACTTGAAGCTGGAAATAAATAAATTTTCTTAGCATGATTTTTCCATATCTTTCCAAATTAAAAGTAAAGAATGTTAAATTTCCACTGTGGTTAATAGTTAATTTGCCTTTATTTATTTATTTGTTGAATTTACATAGCTGCCCATCTCACTTATGTGACTGTGTGACTCACACAATTAAAATAGCAACAGCCAAAACTGACAAACAGTTAAAAAGTATAAACAGTAAACAGGGGCGTACATCCAGAGTCTTACAAACAATCTAATCACCTCGCTAGCAAGCTCTACACTACAACCGGATTCCCTCAGCCAAATGGGAATTTCTCCCTCCTGCCTGACACCTTCTTGCCATCTACTCCCATTACTGGGTCTATCATTTCCTTGACTTCCTTTTTGTTCCTTACATATTGAAAGAAACTTTTTAGATTATTTTTAATATTTGTTGCAAGTCTTAGCTCATTCTGGGCCTTGGCTTTCCTTGTAGATTCAGGATGTTTGTTGGCCTTCTGCTTTAATTATGTGTCCCTCATTCCATTTTTTATATTTGACCTTTTTCTCCCTCAGTTTGTTAGAGAACTCGTTATGCAACCCTGCTGGTCTTGTCTGGTGTCTTGTTTTTCCTTCTTTGTGGTATTATTTTGCTAGGGCCTTCATCACCTCATTTTTCAGGATTTCCCAAGCACCTTAACCTGTTTTCCTTTTAAGATACCCATCCATGGAATCTGTCAAGTATTTGCAAGCCTTTGGCACATGTGTCAAATAGACACCAGTGGAGGCAGAGAGTGTCTCCACCCGTGTGGAAAGGAGGGGCTTATCCTGAGTATAAAAACCCCTCCAACCTTTTCCACTTTGCTCTCTCCATCTCTCACTTCTTGTGTTTGTTCCTCATGAGACTTGATCTCTGTTGTACATAGTTAATATGATTTATCATATGAATAAATACGTTTAAGACATTTATTTATGCATCTGCCTCTGAACTCTTCTATGCTCCTGGGTGTTTCTACGATCCCAATTCCACAGAATCCTTCCTAATCTCTCCCTTAGCTTGTTGAAGTAGAGTTTAAAGAACATAAAACATTCTCAGAGTTGGAAGCGACCTTGGAGGACATCTAGGCCAACACCCTGCTAAGACAGGAGACCTTATACCAATTCAGACAAATGGCTGTCCAATCTCTTCTTAAAAGCCTCCACAACTTCTGAAGGCAAAGCATTCCACTGGTTGATTGTTTTCACTGTCAGGAAAATTCTTCCTTAGTTCTAGGTTGCTTCGCTCCTTGGTTAGTTTCCACCCATTGCTTCTTGTCCTGCCTTCTGGTGCTTTGGATATATCGTTTCACAGCCCTCCCTAAGCGGTTTACAGAGTCAGCATATTTCCCCCAACAATCTGGGTCCTCATTTTTCTGATCTTGGAAGGATGGAAAGCTGAATCAATCTTGAGCCAGTGAGAATCGAACTGCCAAACTGCTGGCAGTCGGCAATCAAGCAGAAGTAGCCTGCAGTACTGCATTCTAACCACTGTGCCACCATGGCTCATAAATAACCCAGCTCCATGCCCTATCGGCCTTTCAAAATCAAAACTAACCCCTTGAACTGAACCTGGAAGCAAACTGGCCGCCAGTGCAGCTCATGGAGCAGAGGTGTAACATGCCATTCTAGGGGCATAGATAACTGCCTGCACCACTGCATTTTGCATGCCTCTCAAGGGCAGCCCATGCAATTTACAATTATGGTAGTCCTTTTGAGTAAAATTTGCTAATCAAGGAACAGGTTCAACTGGGACACAATACAAAGATGCACAATAGCTCTCCTAGCCATGGCTGCAACCTGCTCCTTGAGCAGAAGCTGTGAGTCAAGAAGGATCCCCAGATTGTGTACAGGGTCTGATTGGGGCAGTGCCACCCTTTCTAACACTAAAGTTGGCCAATTTAAAATTCTTCACCTCCAAAAGGACAGGATAGAGGTGGAAAATTTCAACTTCACATCTTTTTTAAAAAAAATTCTAGCTTCATAAAGCTTGCCTAAGGGAGCTTGGTGGCTCAGAAGTTAAAGATGATGAGTTTATCAGATGGAAAATTGACAGCCCAGGTTCAAGAAGGTTGAAAAGGTTCAAGAAGTCATGAGGCAGGGTGAGCTCCTATTACTTGCCTCAGCTCCTGCCAACCTATCAGTTTGAAAGCATGCAAATGTGAATAGATAAATAGGTACCACTGCGATGGGGAAGTAATAGTGTTCCGTGTCCCTTTGGTGTACAGTCATGCTGGCCACATGACCATGGAAGCAGACAACGCTGTCTCCCTCAGCTAAGAAACAGAGATAAGCCCCAACCCCTAGAGTCAGACACGACTGGACAGGGGAAACCTTTAGCTTTATTTCAAGCTTCCCATCTCAGCTCTGTTCAGAATATTCTGTATAGTTCCCCAGTTTTGAAATTTCTGTGGCCAAATTTGTGGTACTATAACACCATGCAGTATTTACAACAGCGCAACATTTGCTTTGTCAACATCCTGCTCTTCATATCTGTTAGTTATTCGTTCGGTTCTTGGTATTCTCTGAATTGAATTGTTTTTCTGCAGCAAATTTCATTACTCATCCAAGTAACATCAGCACATATACTGGTAACAAAACATCTGCATGAATGTTCTACAGCAGCGGTCCCCAACCTTCCTGGCTCCAGGGAAAAAATTGTCTTCCACAGGAATGGTTTTGCACAAGCATCCTAGATCCCACGCATGCGCAGATGGAGCTTCACTCGCTGGCCCACTGCTTGCTCAGTCCGGTTCCCAACAAGCCACAGACTGGGATTTGAGGGCTGCTGTTCGGCAACCCAGCTCAGAGAATACCAAGAATGCACAGTTCAGCCTGGAGCTATATATATTCTCTACTGCGTGGTTTGTTATCTTTCTAAAGGAAATAAATCCTTCTGGAAATAATCTTGCATTCTTACCCTTCTAAGGTTATTTTCTAAACAGGGAACGCGGTAAGCTTTTGAAACGCAAATTTCAGCAGTTTTTGTTCCACAGATTTATTCAGTTTAAATGAATTGGGAGCTTTTTTGGACTTCTGCTTGAATATAGTCACTATTGGCAAAGGATCTTTAGAACTCGTCAGCATCTAAAATTGTTAAATTTGAAGAGTTTGAACTTGAGTCATCATTGAACTGGTTCTGCAAATTTTTCTTTTTATTCTGGTATTATAGAAATAAAATGAAAACAACTCTACACTTTAAGGAAAGATCAGCTGAAATATGAAATATAGTTCATATTCAAGGAGCCGCTGTACACTGCTGGCTCATATTTAGCCGGTTGTCCACTAAGACTCAAAGATCCCTCTCACAGTCACTGCTATTAAGCCCTGGTTTCACATATAAACTGGGGGAAACCAGGCTTAATTGCAGTGACTGTGAGAGGGACCTTGGAATCTTAGTGGACAACCAGCTAAATATGAGCCAGCAGTGTGCAGCGGCAGCCAAAAAAGCCAATGTAATCCTAAATTGAATGAACAGATGGATACAATCAAGATCAAGTGAGGTACTAATACCACTCTATAAAGCCCTAGTAAGACCACACCTAGAATACTGCATCCAGTTTTGGTCACCACACCATAAAAAAGATGTTGAACTCTAGAAAAAGTGCATAGGAGAGCAAACAGGATGATTAGAGGACTGGAGGCTAAAACATATGAAGAACAGTTATATGAACTGGGCATGGCTAGTCTAGAGGAGAGAAGGACCAGGGGAGACATGATAGCAGTCTTCAAATATTTGAGGGGCCGCCACAGAGAGGAGGCGGTCAAGCTATTTTCCAAAGCACCTGAAGGCCAGACAAGGAATAATGAATGGAAACTGACCAAGGAGAGATTCAACCTAGAAATGAGGAACTTTCTGACAGTGAGAACAATCAACCCATGGAACAGAAGTTGCCTTCGGAAGTTGTGGGAGCTTCATCACTTGAGACCTTCAAGAAAAGATTGGACTGTCATTTGTCAGAAATGGTGTAGGGTCTCCTGCATGAGCGGGGGGGGGGGGGGGGGGTTGGACTAGATGACAGGTAAAGTCTCTTCCAACTCTGTTAATCTGTAACTATTCTGCTGTGATGATGCAGGAGAAAAGATGATTGGGACAGTTTGAGGAAACCTTCAGAGTTTCAAATTACTTATCTTTTGGCCTTCCTTTAAAAAAAATTAAGCATCTAGTCATTATGGAAAACTAGGATGTTAGCCTGAAGCAGAAATGGTTCACCTTTTGATACCTGGAGCCATTTTTGACTGTTGGGAGTAGAGCAAGGTCTGTAAAGCTATCCCAAAGGTACTTTTTCAAAAGTCAACTGAACTGTCTTTGTTTTTTCTTGAAGACATTCAGCTTCTCATCCAAGAACTTCCTTCAACCTTCTGAAGAACTAAAGAAGCTTCTTGAATGAGAAGTGAAATGTTTTCAAGGAAAATCCAATTGCCTCTTGAAAAAGCATCTTTATTTATTTATTTTATTAGATTTTTATACCGCCCTTCTCCCACAGGACTCAGGGCGGTGAACAGTCAAGAATAAAAACATTGCATACAAAATTTAAAATCTTTGGGACAACCGTGACCAGGATGACTGAGAATCTCCAAAGACATCTGTAAAGCCAGAGCTATTTCACTCATGGGCAGGCGGGCAGGGCTAGGATATTTCACTCTTGGCAGAGTTTGGGGAGGTCAGGAACTTTCTATCGTACTCCTTATTGTAGGAAGACTATTTTAAAATGTATTTGTGCATTTCCTTACTCCAAAGTGGCAGAAAGCCATGACACTGACATGTGGTTCCATACCAGCTAAGGATGAAAATAGGCTACTCTAGACACGCTAAGCTCTAATAGTATCTTCTTATACAGTGCTGGGCTTGCACCTTCCTTCTCACTTACAGATGTCAATGAAGAACTGGATTTTTCAACTTTCCTGACCATCATGTATAGGCAAATGCAGCAGGAAGATCCAAGGAATGAAATCCTTCTGGCCATGTTAATGGTAGACCAGCAAAGGACCGGATTCATCTCCGTGGCTGAATTGCAGGCAAAGCTAATGAACCTTGGAGAAAAGCTATCCAAGGAAGAGGGTGAGTCTCATGCAAAGATCCCTGGGCCTTGACCCTTGGAAGGCGGCTTTTCTCAAATACAGTGGCCCTTCAGTACTTGGTGTTAATTCATTCTGGGAGCCCTGATGGGTACTAAAAAGGACGAGTCCTGAACAAACCAGGTGACTTACCATGTGACCCTTTGTTTCGGCTGGGAAGAACTTTCTGCCTGTCCCTTTTTTTATGTCGGTGACCTTCCCAGCATAGCCTTCCTGACCCCCTCCTTTTGCAGCGACCTTCCCAGCATGGCTGACTTCCAGTTCGTTCCCCATAGTGGTTCCCCTCTTCCCATAGCAGCACGATGAATACAAAGGCCAAGTACTGGGACAACATTTTCACATCAAAATGCCTCCATAACCAAATTCAATGAGTTTGAAGCAGTTGAGTACCAAGGTACCACTGTACAGGAAGATGTAAGGGAAGAGGGAGCGATCAATGGCTGTTACAAACCTGTGTTTCCCCCGAAAATAAGACCGGGTCTTCTGTTATTTTTTGCTCCAAGATGATTAGGGCTTATTTTCCAGGTAGGTCTTCTTTTCAGGTAAATACAGTACTAAATGCATCTATCTGGCTGACAATCTTAACTGGGGCTTATTTTGGGGTAGGGCTTATATTATGAGCATCCTGAAAAATCATGCTAGGGCTTATTTTCTGGTTGGGGGTTATTTTCAGGGAAACAGGGTATCATTGTTAATTAAATATGTTAATTTGTGTGCCTGAGTCTTCCCCAACCTGATGTCGTCTAGATCAGGGCTGGGCGATTAATTTTCCCAAGGAGCCACATGAGAAACCAGGAATGTTGTAGAGAGCCGAACCAACAGGGCTGTGAAGGTGCAAAGGCAGGAATGCACACACATAAGTACATTAAAAAGAAAATAGCAGTCACCTTCAAAATAAAAAGCAATGCAGTTGTATTGTGTGAATGGCATACACTTGTTTACATTTGATTTCTGATTTCCGATTGCCCTCATGCAGACTGGACAGAGACAGACAAAGGGCTGAATGTGCCCAGGGGCTGTAAACTGCCCAGGTCTGCTGTAGATGTACCAGACTCCCATGGGTATCCACTAGGCAGAAGCCAGCAGCCAGAGAGAGAGCACGGGGTAACAATCTTCCTAGCTGCTGGGAATATGTTATCCAGTTGTGTTGGGATCACTGTATCTCCCAGAGTATCAATATAAATATTACAGTCCGGCATATCATAATGATAAAGCTGGGGACCACAGAACACCATTTTTCCTACAGATTTCCCCCCACTCCATAGTGTTTCTATTCAGCATAGTAGATATGGTAATTTGGCCCAGGATTCTGTCAATTGGTAGAGTATGTTAAAAACCAAGCATCTAGTCTCAGTGTTAAGAAGAACCAGCTGCCTGCAATTACTGCAGGTTCGAATCTCGCCAAGGCTCAAGGTTGACTCAGCCTTCCATCCTTTCTAAGGTAGGTTAAATGAGGACCCAGTTTGTGGGGGCAATAAGCTGACTTTGTATAAATATACAAAAGGATGAAGGCTATTGCTGAGCACATTGTAAGCCGCCCTGAGTCTTCGGAGAAGGGCGGCATATAAATCAAATTAAATTAAAAATAAATAAATAAATAAAAATCTTTTTTTAAAAAAACCTTTTAGGATCCTCAACAGCAGGTAGAGGGCCAGTTTTGAAAAAATAAGCACTCGAGATAAAAACTAATAGTGATTTTATTTAAATTCAAATTAAACCAATTAAGACAGCGGTCACCAACTGGTGGTCCACGAGAAAATTTTGGTGGTCCGCAGAAAAAAGTATTTGCATTTTTTATATTACACTAAATCAGGGGTCCTCAAACTACGGCCCCTGCACTGGATACATGCACTGAACGTTTGGGTTGCTGCAGAGAGTCTCCCCCATCAGGCTCTTTTTGTGCAGGTTGGAGGGGAGGAGAAATTCTGACTTGGGGTCTGCTTCAGCCTCCTGGTGCGGGGCTTTGGACGAAGGCTGGAAGGAAGTGCCGCTGGTGGCGAAGAGCCGGAGGACTTTGTTCCAGTGGGACAGCATCATGGCCTGGAACCGGCTGACCATCTCAGCCCACTGAGCCTCCAGGTGCCAGTACCTGGTCTTGCATTCCCACACGTCTTCCCTCTGCTTGGAAAGCCTATGCTCCTAGTCCTCACTGAGGTGCTTCTGCTGAGCCTCCTTCTCGGTCAGATCCAACTTGAACTGAGCTGTTTTGCCAACTCTTTCTCATGGTGGCTGCTCTGCTCCAACTACTGCTTCCTGCAGAGGGCCTAAGGAGCCCGGGCAGGGAGACGAGGAGTGGCTGAGAGGGGAGGGGCGAGTACAGGTTGGCGAGGCGCCCCGCGAGTTGACCAGACCCATCCAGCCACATGACCACCTAGCCACGCCCACCCAGCCGGTCATTAGGCAGATCATATTAGTGGTCCATGGGATTTAAAATTATGAATTTAGTGGTCCCTGAGGTCCAAAAGGTTGGTGACCCCTGAATTAAGACACATTTCATGATTATTTTCTCTATTTTTAAGAGCTTTGTGGTTTCAGATTCTGTGCTAGGAGAAATCAACAGGAAGGCTAAGACAGCTCCATCAAAACCAGGGCAGGTGTATGAAATAAGCAATACTAGAGGTTTTGTAGTTTAACATGGAGAAAAATGTATTTTGTGGCTGGGAGCAACCAAGAAGCTCTTGGTTAATCAATATTTCTCCTCCTTCTTGGATATCCTCTTTATAATTAATCACTTTCTGGGTTCAGACATTTGACTCATCTAGCTGGCTCTCTAGTTTGTTCTTAGTTTTAAGAACACTGAGCCCTGGTGGCTTAGTGGTTAGAATGTAGTATTGCAGGCAAACTCTGTGCACAGCTAGGAGTTCGATCCTGAAGGGGCTCAAGGTTGACTCGGCCTTCCATCCTTCCAAGATTGGTAAAATGAAGACCCAGATTGTTGGGGTCAAAATGCTGACTTTGTAAACTGCTCAGAGAGTTCTGTAAAGCACTATGGAGGGGTATATAAATCTAAGTGTTAGGGCTACTGATCTACAGTATTTCTATGTCCCTCTTTTCAGTTTTTATACTTGTTCTTTTCTTCCTCTCTGTTTGTCAGAGGTTTCTTTGTGCAATCATGCTGACTTCATTCGGGGTTTTTTGTTTTGCTTTCTCTGTGATATTGTCTTAAATTGGGTTTTTATAATCTCATTTTTCAGTGTTTCCCAAGCACGTTGAGTTGGTTTTCTCTTTAGGATTTCCATCCATGGAATTCGTCAGCTCTCATAACTGATGTTTCTTCTTCCTCTGTCACTACTGTATATTGTACTTGGAGATAAAATTAGTCCTATCCGAGACCTCAACCTGCTTCAAACCAGGTTCCTACATCATGTGCCTTTGTGATGTGGGAACCACCTATTCCATCAATTGTTTCCTTTAGCTGTTGCATTACCATAATTTCATCTCCCACCCATCCACAATTTGACATCCTAATTAAAGATCTGAAATAAATAGTCTGGATATCTGTAACCTGAAGTGGTTCAATTATTCTGCCATTGCTTACAGTGGATACCCTTTTGAAGAATGCCAGAGCAGGAAACAACGGACTGGTGAAGTATGAAGACTTAATTCAGTCAATCATGCTTCCAGTTGATGATTATTGAAGTGCAAAAAGATACTTGGCTGAAGGCAACCATACAGGCAACCTTCATCAATTCTTCCTGGAACTTGGGCTCTTCCTGCCTTTTTGTCTTAAAAAATAAATGCTTTGTTGCAAACAAAAAGAAATATGTTAAACGATTAATAAAAAGCAGAAATGTTGGCTCTTTCTGTGTGAAATGTAATGTGCTTATTTTCCTTTTCAGCTAAGTTTCCTTGATTTTTTTTTAAGTAGTCAAAAAGGTGCTCAGGAACTGGAAATATTTTTCAGTATCATGCAATCTATAAAGTTTGATTTCGTGAGGTAGCACATTGCAAGGAATCAATATGATCCAGCTGTGTTGTGGTCACTGAACTGGGTGTGAGGAAAGCCTCAGGACCAGAGGTTCTCATGAGGCTTTAAGAACAACCTTGTAACAAGGGGCTGAGCAGTCGTCCCTCTACCACACCGATGTACCCAGATACTCATAAAGTGTTGTACAGCCTCTAGCTTGGCAGCTCCTGGTTTCAAAGCCAGCCAGGGCCTCCTGGCAGAAATAGCAAGCTACAGCTAAGGCCCTTTTAATTTGCACTGGTTTTTGGAACAGAATTTTCATTACAAAATAACCAAGAATTTATCTCTTGCAAACCCAGTCTATGTATTGCGCATACACGGCAAGTTAATCCACAAGAGAGAACATAATAGTTATTTATTACATCTAAAGATGTTTTACATAAACAAGTAACATTCAATAGCGTAAACCATTTCTCTTCCAATGCATGTAATAAATATTTTCACTTGGTACTTTTATACAAACTGACATTGGTCTACTATACATTTTTAAAAGCCACTTTTTAAAACTTGTTTGGCATGCTGTATGGAAACTTAGGAGAAAGTTTAAGGCAATGAATCACAGATCTGCGTTTATGGAATCACTTTTTCTGTTTTTCACTTTATATACACAGGTTCTTCCCTTTTGTTAATCAGAACAATTAACAGCAGCACACATGGGGCCTCTGGCAGTTTTAGTTCAAGAGAAATCAAAGCTCTTACCGAAGAAAAATAAAATAAGAAACCATAATTTCAAATTATGAAAAAAGCTATGAAATGTTTAATATAATGGGAAAGCTTAGCCAAAGTACAGCAGAATTACTAGTAAGAATCAGCTTCAGGTTGATACGTTAGTTCTGTTTCAGTAGAAAAGAAGAAACGTGGGAATGCAGTTAAAATACTGTGAATTTTGCTTGCAATTTTGGTTTTGCAATCAGGTTTTTAACCAGGAAAATGATGCATCTAGTTAATGCCCACAGAAGTGATTCAAAATCACTCTTATTATAGAAGACTCTTGCATCCATGTGGATACACACAGAGCACAACGTACACAAAGTACAAACAAGACGTACAAGTAATAAGCACACCCACACCCACCCACTCACTCTCCTGTCTGTGTGTGTGGGGGGGAAATAAGCCTCCTCCCCCACAAAAACAAATATACAAAATGAAATACGTAGATCTTACACTGTCCAATTAAGCAAAACAGACACTTTTGCTTCGCAGAAAAATTCTACAACTGTCAAAAATGAGTTTGGCAAGGACATCTCACTACAGAAGAAAATCCTGTAGTCGAAATATGTTGTAACTCCCAAAGTCTGATGCATGTTCTGACTTAATTAACTGCCCAGGTCTCATTTAGGTTGAAAAGATTTAGAGGAGGAGAACTGGCATTAACTCCCTCCGGTTCTCATTTGGGACGTTACTGAATATCTCACATTCAAACGATCAGGTGCTGCTTTCAGGTGCAACTTCTCCCATCCCTTTACAGCCAGAGAGAGGTGCCTTTTACTGGAGTACTAGCAGGAGGTACCTTTTGTTTCATAATTATCAAGTCAATTTAACGTGGAGGAAGTCCTGTTTCCAGCAACGCCTAATTCTTCATCAGATTAGAAGCCAGATCAAAATTCTTCTGACAGATCTCAAGCCCAGAATGCACCTCGGTCACACACACACACACACACACACACACACACACACACACAGCTCAACACTCTCTCTAGAAACCCACTCAAAGCAGTGCATAAATTCAGCTTAAGGTAAATGCAGCACGGGAGCCAGTATATATGCAGATCACAGTACGTACGATTCACAGTCAGTCCAAACAAACTTCACACGGCTACTTATGCCTGATGCATTTACTGTATATGTACTGATTCTCCATCACAAGTAAACAGAGCGAGACTGCAGCTCATTTTTACACATGCTGGGCCCACTCTCTCTAGCTTAACAACCTGGAAAGTGCACATCTTACAATGTGCTCTGGTGTGTTATTTGAACATATATTTTAAATATTTAACAAAAACAATTATTTGGACTTATGCAAAAATGTCAGATCGAAGGCCACAGACTTTCAAGAGAATGGTGCCAATTCTGTTCTATAGCCATCCATCTGGCTACTCCCAATCTTCACTTGGAACACAGAGAGGATTAATTTTAAACGTTAGGTATAATTCTTAAGCCAGTATTAGTTTTAATGCCCCAAGCTATAGCAAATTTAGAAAATATTACTATTTTCTACTTGTTTCTTTAACTTTTACTGCCATTTAATAAATTAGAAATTAGCAAGGAAACATATTGGCCAAACATTAATAGAATACATGCATGGAACAGAATACACACCCTCGCTCTCACACGCACATATCTATAAATACATATATACACACGCATATACATATAAACAAACATTCCTAAAATTCAAATTAAAATGTAAATGGCAAATGGGATGTATTTCAGAAAATCCAATATAACATTTCTGAGGTCAATATAAAAAAATCACTTAAGATTAAAAATTGGTAGCTTGTCACTGATTTAAGGTTCACTGAAAGAGAGGGAGCCTTGAAAAGAAGAGTTTGGAAAAAATGCTATCATTTGCAGACATGGTTCAAAGAAGCAGCTCATGTGCCTCCGGATTAAGACGAAACAAAAAGGCCGGCCTTGTTTCAGCACTTTGCATCTTCCTGCTGAAATCCGCATCGTTTTTAAACCTTGGTTTTAAAGGCGAGTTATAAAATCTTTTAATCTCAACATAGATTTTGGCATGAAGCAAATTTCACTTGTCATTCCCTGCCATTTTCTTTTTAAAATCTCCTTTCAATTTGCATGTTTTGTTATTTAATTGGTGGGGGGGGGGGAATGCTTTTTAAAAAATCAGCCAACTTGAAAAAAAGCTTTCTAACTAAACATTCAACCCTCGGTATGGAATTTACAAATGCTAAAAGGGCCCACATCCTCCTTTAGAAGAATTTAACAGACAAGAAAAGGTGAACTCATTTAACGCATTTTGAAGGAAAGGAGAGGGACGATAATCTTGTAGATGTTTATTTTCCAATTAACCGCAATACAAAAGGAAGGACTTTTAATCATAATTTAATGGGCCATTCTTTAGCCCAAGCCTAGGGATTGTTTACTCAAATATTAGTTTTGCTAAATCCTACTTAATTCAATAGGCCACATTTTCCCAAGCCAAAAAAAAAAAAAATGTTTTCTAGGATTGGACCTTGGTGCATATGATGGCCATTGACATTGTCAGCTGCACAATAAACTCACTGAAATTACATTATTCCTCTTAAATGTTGATGGGTTGGCTCTATTTAGTAAACACATTCTAAGAATTCCACCAATTTCTTTGTCTTTAGCACTCCAGACATAACCTTTCAATTGGCAGGGTAATGCCAAGGAACTATCGCAACCAAGTGTGCCCTCACTGGCACCTAGATTTTAAGAAGCCGTTTGGTCTCATCCAGCAGAGCGGAATAACCCCTTAATGGCAAACAGTTAGCAAAGAGGAGAACTGTGAAATCTGAGTTATGAGCAAACCAAGGCAGAGCTAGCTAATCAAAACAATCCAAAGAAGAAATATGGGTCCACATCAGAACAAACAGCCAAAAGACTTTCCAAAAAACCTACATCCAGCTGACACACGAGAAAACGCTATGGAATTTCGGTAACTCAAACAGCCTCTGTCCTACTTCAGGATAAACAAAGAAGAGCAGAAAAGCCGGAAGTTCAATTGCAAACGTTGAATTTGTTTCAAAGCAAATGTGCAGGCAAACTTTCCCAATGGAGCATGCCCTAAGGAAGGAGATATTTTCTCCAATTATTGTGGATGCCGTCTGTTTCCTCAAGAATCAGAAGTCCTCTATAACGTTCAGTGTTTCAAGCGCACCATTTTCCCCATTAGCACGGCTGTGAACAAACAAAAAGTTATGTGGTTCAGAATCAAAGCTTCAAAACAAGCCCACCAGCGCATAAGATAAATCGGGAGGGGAAAAGTCTTCCATATCCCAAGCAATTATGTTGGGAGCTTTTGCAATTTTTTTGTTTGTTTGTTTTTCACCAGTCAAATTATCTTAGGTTTATATACAAAAGTACAACTGAAAATATAGTTTTGTTCTCTGTACACGTCTTTTTTTTTTCCCTACAAAAAAGGAAAAATCTTATCTGCATTTCTAAACAAAAATAAGGTAAAACAAAATCGCAAATCTCTTCACCCACGAGTCCAGGGACACCTCAACTGAGCTCAGTCCAAAGAAATAATGTCTGGGATGACGCCGAAGAGAGACGCGGGGTCTGTGCTACCTCTGCTGGCCACAGGGTGGCTGTGGGCCTCCCGAATACTGGTGGAGGACACGAGGCTGCTGTTGCTGCCGCTGTTGCTGCCATTCGTGGCAGGGAGTGTGGCGCTCCCTCCGGTGTTCAGCTGGTCCAGGAACATCTGCGACGAAGTGTAGGGGAAAAACCGGGAGTGCAAGAGTTCTTGATCGTCGGAAGTGGAGACGGCGGCAGCGGCGGCTGCCAAAATGGAACTGCTGTAATGCTGGGGAGAAGATAACAAGGCAGCTGAAACCGGGGAGGGTCAAGGACACCCCGGCACTTCCTACTGCCAGCCCAAACATGGATCATTGGAGTGAGAGTCAGAGGCTTCCCAAGCCCAGGCCACGGAGAGGCCCCGATAAATCTCAGCTCTGGAGTCGGGGCACCAGGGTGTGTTTCAATGTTCAGCAGCCACAGAGGAAGGCTGGAATACCAGTCCCAGCCTCTGGACGAAGGCCGAGGCCCCCTGGGAGCCCATCAAATGACAAGAGGGAAGAGAACGGGAGGAGCACGTCTCCTTTCGGAAGCTCACTGGCACCA